AATGGCACCACCCTGCGCGGACGCAACCACTCCTTCTTTGGGGGGATGAAGTGTTCGAAGTTGAGTCAAGATAGTTGCAATATCATTGAGAATGGTTTCCATTTGCCTTGGGTTTCAGGCCGCGCATCCACAGAGTTTCAAGGTCCTTGCCTTGAATGTGATCCATCATTATATATATGCCTCCTGGTCCATTGTATGTACACCGAACTCGAGGAACTGGAATTGTGGTGTGTTCTGAGATGTAGAGAAGCGCTTCAAGTTCTGGGAGCTGGCACGGCCCTTTAATAACATGTTTCCGGCCGACCTTAACAACAGTTGGACCTAGGGATCCAAAGATTGACCGGGCTATTCTAAATCGAGTGTGAAGAATGATAGTTTTCAAATCTTAACACTCATTCAAGAACAAAGTTGACGTCAGCATTGGTCTTATCAGGTGATAGGGTTTTGATTGAGCAAACCTTGTAATACCATCGTTTAAAGCTCTGAGGGTCGATAAAACGGAATCAGCAGGTGATATACATATGAAAAACAGGTTCAATATACCAGTGTTCTCTAGGATTCTGTGGAAGAGATGAAGGGGAATTGATGAAGAGAAGGTTCGCGTGGAGCAGATGATGAATGAGTCTGTTAGGTAATCACGTGCCTCAACTTAATCGCCCTTTCATGGTATTTACAACAAAATTTCAAATCAAGCAACAAAATTTTATTACTTCTTGACAAAGGCAACTGCACCGCTCCCACATGACTAGTCAAAAGCCATTTTTCATAGAGCCTGGGGATTATCCCACGGAAATGAGACAGAGCGGTTCCTATGATGGTTGGATTCTACAATCATCGAAGGGGAGAGGTCAGGGTAAATCACACCACCACCACCAACTGTAACACATCAATTCTGGGAGCGATACAGACTCCGATCACTTAGCATATGTAGATATTTTTGCATCTTCCTAACTCCCCCCATCGAGAAGTATGAGAAAAGAAAAACTGGCCACCATTCTAGCGTTTTACGCTTTGCCGACATACCCAGTTTGAGGATTACACCACCGGAACTCGTTGACGGGGGCTAGGATTACTGATCCAGTGATGTCATGTGACGTCTGTCTTTAGTGTAGTTCGCCAGCGTGTGATCGCAACCCAACTCCTGCTCTACCGTAGAACACTACTTCATATGGTTATCATCTTTACTCTCGCTAATGATCACGGATAACCATTACTGGGAAAATGTGTAAGCAGCAGAATCTTCTTCAAATCTAGCTTCTAATGTCTAATGTTTAGCGCAGACTTTCATTTCATTAACGAAACACCACCTAAGCGCCCTAAACGCCGTCGACTTGGCCACTCTCCAGCCAGAAGGGCTCCAGCCAAACCACCGCAATCCATATCGAACTGCGAATGTCGCATACTATGGAAATCAATTGAGTGTATCCACGAGCGGGTGGTGATTTTGGAGCAGATGATCTGCGAGCTCGGCAGGGCAGATTATCTAAACAGCGCGTTCGGCGGTCCCGTTTGCCGTTCGAAGGATATAAAGCAGCAGGTGCTGAAGATATCATCCTCAGGGGCATCATTGAAATGCCCCGCCTCCGTATGTGGGAAGGAGTATAGTAATCGGGATAGTCTGCGGGATCACATTTGCTCTTCAAATGATTATGTTCATCTGTTTTATAGGCGCTTACTTTCCCAAAACTACTGCATTCCATGTGAAAGAGAGTTTGATTCGAGTAAAACCCTTGGTGAACATCAGAAGGAGACAGCATGGGGAGATATACAACTGGCGGATTGACATTTCAGAAATGGCAATGGACGTGTTCCTGTAAGTTGCGTTGATAGTTAGTGATAAGTTTGGTTGCTTACGATGACAGTTGCACTTTTGGATAAGAATGAACATTCAAAGCCCAGAATGACTTTTGACGAAGATACCCATGCCGAGCCTTCCTACCCTTCCTCGAGGAAGCAGAGTGATGATCACATTGCCCCAATGCAGAAACAGGCGGTCTCGGAAATCTGATGACAGTTACGCTCTTAGATAAGAACGAAGAAGCGATCCCCAGCGTGACCGATAAGAACAAACCCGCACCTACGCTCAACAGAACATCTTCTTGCAAGCGTTCGGCTGACAAGACATCTTTTGATGAAGATATCTATTCCGAGGCTTCTGATCCTTCCTTGAAGAAGCGGAGTGATGATCACATTACACCAATGCACGAACAGGCGGTCTCTGGAAACCTGGAGTCCGGGGAGCGGTATGTATTATCCCATTCATGATTGGGATTTCATGATGCTTCATTTATAGGAGTCAGACATGCTAAATGGTTTCTGGACAGAGCAACTTCTCAGAGGGAATCAATCGTGGCCACAGGCTCAGTCCTTAACCACGGGACGCAGTTCAATTTTAACGATCGAAACGACGAGGTGCCAAACGCTGAAACCACAGCTGGCTTCCTAGGACCCGGTGAAAGCAGCTCCACCGCACAGACGTATCCACACGGCTACCATTTCGCTACACGCGATTATAACCTTGGCTTCCCGGCCAACAGTATGCGTTCCAGTCACAAGAGGAATCCAGTGTGTGACTTCGACGATGGGAATTTCTTTTTAACAGAACAGAATTCAGGCCTTGCTTGGGGTGAGACTGCTGGAGATTGGAGGGGCAGTGAGGTTTACAGTCATACTTGGGATGGACATGGCGCTGCGATGGATTTTAACCGTGGCTTCCCGGCTGGCGATCCCATTGACCAAATACTCTATTCCAGTGGATGCATCAATTTCCCTAGATATGCCGCTAATTAAACAAGACTAAGAATCATCATATATCTAAATTCTCCCAATGGGATAATCTTTTGAAAATAGCCGTTCTACCATCAGCGCCCGATGGCCGGTCTAGACCAACCAAAACCCTTCCATCGATACCTCACTATGACAAGATCGGTCTTATCTGTCGGGGTTGGCAATGCCTGTGCTAACCAGCCGTTGCATATGAGCCTAAAGTATGTCAGTACCTAAGCACAAAACGTCACGGGCCACATACAAGTCTTTACCGGTGGAGCTGACAGATTGCGTCTGATGAGTTTCAACCCCACGGAGCCCAGTATCATACATCCAGTGCCATGTGTTGTTCTCATCGCCGTGAAGATGGTAACAGGCGATCGCGACAATATCCCTCGGCCCTTCTTCTTTCACCATGTCTCTCCAGTTTGGAGCACGCTCTATTGGGTTGGGCTTCCCGAGAATTTCGGACGGCCACCGACGGTCAAGAAAGCTGGTCTCGAAGTCGCTGCTTCCACCCCGTGCCGCGGACAGGATAGCAAGGACAAACTGCTTTTCTTTCAGTAACGTCGAAACAGTACCCAGTTTGGAGTTCTTTCACCTCGTTTTGTAGTGCTTTCTCATCAGATTCAGTACTTGCACCATTCTTCAACACCACCCATCCATCTCTTTGTAGGCACTCAAGCACTCTAATCTGATCCGACCTTTCAGAGAGGTCCAGCAAGATCACACCCGCCTTCGTATGAACAGAAATCTTCAATGGCATGTCGGTTGGTCGGCTGTCTTGCTGGTGCGGGGCATCGTCGCGGGGCAGTTGTAGGAGGAGAGAAACATCGGGCACGTGAGCCTCGAGCTTGGCATCAACTCTGGTGACTGCTTGTCTGGTTACACCCCTATCTTGCTCCATGATTAGAGACAGTCTAGCCACGAATCATGTGTCAACCGACTCACGCAAAGTACCGAGAAGACTGTTTGGCTGAACATCGGGCCAGCGAAGATATTTTCTTGGCCTTGAATGAACCCATCTCGTCTTCGTGTGGCAGGGCTTGGTTTCAGGTGGAAGGAAAGAGCCGGACATCTTTCCGCCAGAGAGGATTGGGCGGGACATATATACTTTCTTTTCTATCTGTCATACGTCACTGATCTCTGCGTCGGCATGATCTTCTATTTCTTTTCTTTTTCCATTTGCACCTATCAGACCGGTTTCAGGCTCATTTTGAATGAGGCTCTGGTTGCCTTGCAGTGTCTTTCCTAGACCGCCATTCAGTGCATTAGTACGTTTGCTTCATGCAGGACCATTACTGCTTCGGAGAATTCACCCGGAACTTGCTTTACCAGCCAAGCAAGACACAAGACTACAGCCCGCACGCATAAGCAGACACGTGTGCAATGATCAACAGATGAAGTATATTTGCTACTCTGTACAAGTATTGCTCGTTCTTACAGCACCAATAATGAAATGAAAATAAGGACAGCAGAGAGAAGACACTATTATGAAAATACAGCGGAAGCGAGGGTGATGAAACAAAAGAATGAGAAGAGTTGTGCATATTACAGACTGGACGGGGGCAAAAGTTACCGGGCCACTAAACTTAGAAGCAGAAATAGGATCTGAGAACACGTCTGACTTGCTCCCTGATGCCTTCAGCAGGGCGTGCCTGCAGGCTACTCGAGATGCGAACCATCCCCAACGGTTGCCTGATACCATCGTATTCCTTGTCCTGCCTGGAGATGGCTTCACATCGAGTCTCCAAGATGGTTCCAAATTCGATTGGGTCAGCGCCGTGAGAGGAACTGACAAACGGGTCGGCCGCTGTTTCTGTATCCCGAACACAAGGAGTGTATGACATGAAGGTAAACAACTCATGGGCGGTGTTGATTGCCCTTTCTTTACAAACTTCGTATTTGGCAGAATCTGTAGGGTATTGCGCAGAAATGTGTCTCAGGCGCTCAAGCTCTACCAAACAAGGAAGCACAAATGGTACCGCCGGCTTACTCCTCAACTCGTCGCGATAGTTCCTGAAATTTTCGCTCTCGTCAATGATCCGAGAGAGCTTCCGCGGGATCGCTTCTTCGCCACGCATGGCAATCTTTAAACCGTAGGTGATGGCTGTCGAAGCATGAAAGTTTCGCAGATTGTGTAACCGCTTAAAGAGCGGGAGATCAGCTGCGAACGGTACTGGAAAGGCTCATCTCAGCTTACCAGAGCAAGTTCAACCAGAACGTCTAGAAGTTCAGAACGCACTCGAATGCATTCCACAACTTCTCCACATCGACGATTCCAAGACCGGCCCAACTCGTCCGTTCCTAGATCGAAGAGAATATTCTCTTCGAACAGTTTCAAGTCTTCGTTCGAAATCAAACAAGCAAACGCGGCGGGTGATGGATGGGTGGTTGTAAGCCCGTGGAAAAACGAAAAATCAGTCCGGAACTCTGTCACCGCATCGAATTCGCGCTGTTGGTGATAGGTGCGCTGGTATCGTACTTGCAAGATTCCAAGTATCGCATCGATGTCGACGGACTCGTAAACGGGACGAGCAAATAGACGCGCGAGTGGTCGGACGATAAAGTCGGTCTCCAGATCAGAGGCCACGACCCCATCCTTCGGTGAACCAAGGCCGCTCAATATCACCGAGCGTGCGAATGCGCTCACGCAAGGTGTGGCCTGCGCACAATTAGCGTGCGTACAAGTTGGATGAAGTACAAGCTGACCCACCGTGAAAAGCTGAAGCGCAATCGAATTCCGTTCTGCGCAGCGTTTTAGACGTATGTAGAGCCGAGTGGCGAGCATGTCATGATACCAAATAAACTCGTCGACCAAGTCCACCTCTTTTCCAACGGCTTTTAAGGCCCACGCAGCGAAAGGAACCTGTTGAAACACCGACCAGCTCGCATTATCAATCGCTCTAACCACGGCAGACACATTCGTTGTATCCACTCCCAACAGAGGATTTCGCTCCATGGAAAGCTCGATTCCTGATACGGATTCTGAAAGCTTACCGACCAGAACATCGGACGGCTGAGATCTGGTGTTATACATGATTCCATGTAGTGATTTACGATCGGGCTTGGCCGCCTATTGAGAAATGAAATGACTCTTATTGTAGCATCTAATTCATGAAATGAAATCTGGAAAAGGATGTCCAACAATTGCGACCATAACACGGATAAAATGTAAAGTGACATGCTGCAGATCAGGGAGCTCGGTCGAGTCCTCCTGAGACCCTTTCCGATGGCGATTTGCAGCTGATATCCCTTTTTTTTCCCTTTTTGTTACAGCAGGTCGCCAAGAAATATTTCCTAATTTGGATTTATATGGATGATGTTGGTCGCCAAGGAATGTTTCCTAATCTGGATTTATGTGGTGATATTGAATCCCAAAGTCGTTCACTTATGGTCACCCCAGCAAAGAGAGGTCGAGCCCGTTCCGCAGATAGTACTCGCGAAAAAGGTCAAAAAAAAGCCGTCACCATGGCTGCAAGAAATTTACTATGCCAGAGTAGAATACACATACCACATGCCCGCTATTTCTCGGTTTGAAACTCAGGTAGAGTTCCTGCAATCCTGGCTTCCAAAGACACCAGCCGGTCCTTCATCACAAGCACATTTGAATTGCAAGTGGTTGATGGTTGCAGGTGGCGCCCGCGGTTGGGTACGCATCGATAGTCTGCCACATCCTAGTCCTCGGACCTCCCCGTATTGATCCCTCTCGGCATAGCCAGGCTTAGATTCCGGGAAACCTCGATTTGCGGGTTAATATCAAACAACTAGATATAATCGTGCTATGATATCCGACTCACAATAAGCAATAAGACACTAGTTGAGCCAAAATATCAGGTATCCCTCGCTCGTTGGGGGAGTTGATGAGATATATATTATCTGATATCCCTCGATTCCCCTCTGCCCGATAATCCTTCATCAGTATCGGATCATCAACTGGAACGATGAGTTCAATTTCAATGCATGCTCCACTGGCTTCCCCCCAGCAGTTCACTATGCAAAACCGTGAGTTGACAGACACATTGGCTCTGAACATCACTAACATTATCAGGCATAGGTGATTGTCCGAAACCCCTAGCTTCAAAAAATTCTCTGCCACACGAAAACACAATTTCACTATCAGAATCTGATGTGAATGTCATCGAGGACTCTTCTTGGTGTAGGTAATTCCCATTTTACTGGCAGCTTTGGCTAACCTGCATGCAACAGGCTTGCAAGGGCACGGGATGGCACCAGAGAGAGCCAACCCCACGAGTGGATTGGGGCATAATAGTTACTCCGGGTGTGCAATAGAGGACAACCCCCAGGAGCTAAAAGAGGACTGGACAAGTCGACTCAAGCCTATCTCTGATTCCAAAAACTCTTCTCCCCTCAACGAAAGGCAAACGCGTATAAAGATGCTGGCGAATGAATACGATGGGAAGTTAAACAGAGCACTACTGCATGAACGGTGGATAAATCAAGCATTCTTCTTAAAATTTAAAGGAAAAGCTGATTGGAGAAAACAGATATATAATTCTCAATGTATGTAAGATTGTATCTAGTTAGTGCCAGTGCTGTTCAGTTGGCTGTACCAGATCGCCAAGAAAGTTTTCCTATTCTGGACTAATATGGTGACGTCAGTCGCCAAGAAACATTTCCTCGTTGGGATTTATATGGAGCTCCGTGTGATTCGCTGTCCAGGAATCACTTCAAGTCGGGAATCGTCCAGCTCTATGTGGGAAGGCAATCATCGACCGGAGCCATCACTTTTTGACGTCTTATCACCACCGCCATTGCATTCTGCAGTAACGGTCTGTTTGTTTGATTGGATATACTAAGACTCATCGTTGCAGGTGACATGCACACCTATTAGAATATAGGACGGTTCCAGTACGTAGTATATCTTTTCTCCTCGTCCACCCTCTTCTGTTTCCTCTTTTGCCTTAGCTTTTCAATCCTTAGGATCATAAATACTTCCTTACTCTATTTTGTTTGCCGCCCCGGCTGCGTGATATCTAAGAGTACGATATTTTCTTCGCTTCAAAGCTGGTGGAGACTGTTGGCTTAGGCAGGCTGTTGGCTTCGGGAGGCTGGTGGCTTTAGCCATAGAAAGTGGCTGCTAAACTCTCAACAGGCGCTTAATACCCCCAAGGATCACGACCTGGGTACAATTCACTCAGCTCCAGCTTCACACCTTTGCCATTGCAGATGGCCCTCATCTTGTCCTCTTTGGACCTCCAGTAAGTGCGCTTCGCGTCCATGGAGATGGATTTCAATGCCCATGCATCTGCTCCCTCGACGGGCTTCCGCTTGACATATTCGATCAGCAATTCCGACAAACGTTCCCCGTCAACCCAATCAACCTCGTTCACATCGAGGCGCTCCAGTGTTGAAGGCAAGACTGGCGTTGGAGATAAGCAGATGAGCAGACAATGCGCCGGCAACTGAAGCGTTATGAGCAGACAATGCGCCGGCAACTGAAGCGTTACGAGCCTCTTTGAGGACGAAAAGTTGAGAGGTTCGTTGTCCACACTGTTTATGTTGAAAGCGTGAAGGCTAAAAGAGCGGAGATTGGGCAATTTGGATAGCAGGTATGAGATGCTCTGATTCGCAGTTGGTTGTGTGCTCAATCCGGCGATTTGAACGAGCTCCATCACATCACTAGTGTCTCTCTCTGGCTCGGCTATCTTGAGTGTTTCGGTGCGTGAAACAATACGGGGCCGTTCACGAATGGATCCCAACAACTTCAATACCTCACGATAGGCAGTCGCTGAGGGGGTCAAGCTGATTGTCTTGTATAGACATGGCTCGGCAATGACGCGGATTTCTCTACAGACTTTCACAAAGTTGGTGAGACTCTTCTTGTCCATCGTGCAAGCAACTTGTTCCACCAATTCGACCGGCAGTTTGTCAATCTCAATCTTAACTCTGTATGCTTTGTACAAAGTAAAAGAAGATACTCTGAATTTTCATATAACTGACAATCTAAATATAAATCATTTAAATCATTTCTAATTTTTGTTAAATATGATTTAAAATAACCATGTTCGAGCTTTAGCTGTATTATTGTAGCAAAAAGTTTCTTTTTACATTTTATTGAGCAAGCTTTCCATTTTGGCTTAGTTTCAAACCTGGAATAATGTACACTCTTTTTTTGTAAAAACCAGATAACTTGCCATTTTTGCAAACATGATTCTCTTATTTTTCTCTTAATAAAAGATCATATTATAATTTTTTGAAAGCAGACTTCTAATTCAATTGCTTTTTTTGCAGCTTTATCAGCCATTTTATTGCTATATATACCCATGTATTATTATTGTTATTCTTCTATTATACTCATATGCAAGCAGTGCTTATAACGAGTCCTTGTGTAATGTTAAATACAGGCAAGAGTTGGTTATACAGAAGGAATGCTTAGTGTTGAATGACATCAAGAATATAACAGAAACATAGAAAAAATTAATGAAAGACAGGATTTGATACTCACAATACAGGTTTCCAGCCCAGAAACAATAAGCTAAATCAGGTAGTAGGTCTGCCCGAAGGTACCTACTTAGCAAGTTCACATCCCTTTATTTTAGAAGCTGAGAAGTTAGCTCCGGATGTAATGTTGTCCCCTTGTGGGTTTCGAACCCACGCGCCTTGGGTCCCCACGCCAAGGCGCTACTGGGTGGCCGCATTACCCATTCGGCCACCGGGGCATATATACCCATGTAAGCAGGTACCCAATGAAGATGAATAAAACAACTAAATGAGATTTTTCTTTGATATTTTGAAGACTTTTCAAAATCACCTCTAGCATTGATTGACTATCTATTGCTGATTGTATTACTTCGAAGTCTTTTAAACGCAGCTTGACTATCAAAGAATATTCAAATATACTCAAATCTTTTCCATTGTCTCAATCTTCATCTCAATCAATTTTAAAGTTTTTGAAATTGCAAATAATTCAGCATTAAAAACTTCTGACTCTTTTCCAATTTGTCAAGAATCAAAAATATAATTTTTATCATTTTCTGAATATACTATTCCAGTTTCAAGATTACCTGTTTTCTCATATTTTGAGTCATCAGTGTATATAAGAATTGCTTTATTTCTCATTTATTTTAGAAAATTTATATGTTGTTCAGTCTGAACTTCTTTTGAAAGTTGACTAATATTTAAATCAATAAGACTGACAAGATCTTTCTTCCAGGAAGAGAGATTTTCAAAAACCACTTTCTCCACATTTAAATTAGAGAAACTGTTTTTAATCATAAAGCAAATTCTAAATAACTGAGATGGTATCTTCTTTCTTTGCACAGATGTTGAATTATCAGATGAATTTATTTCATTTTAAATATATTTTTGATAATAAAAGATGAGTTAAAGAGTTTTATCTGACAATCACAATTGAAGAAAATTAAATTGTTTTTATTTGTTGTTTGTAATAATAACAGCAGACTTCATACTGCTTCTGCTTTTGAATTTGAAATTTAAATATTATATATCATCATAATTGAATTGCAATCTGAATCTTTTTAAATTTTACAATATTATTTTATATAAGCAGATTTGAAATATTCTTTTACGTCTTTTTTTTTTTATAAAATTTTTTAATTGTGTAATGTAAAAAGATTTTAAAATTTTCATTAAACTAATTTTCTAATTGATATCTATATCTTCTAATCTATTTTTTCAATGTGTAAAATGCCTTTTTTATAGAATTATAATCAGAAAAATATGAAAGTAAAAATAAAAATTCAATATCAACTTCTCTGCAAAGATCTCATAATGTTTGTGAATAATGAAAAGAGCAATTATTTATCATTAAATAATAATAATTTTATTAATATTTAAACAATATTTAAATATATACAAACTCATTGAACCTCTCTGTATTATAAAACCTTTAATATATATTATAATTAAAATATTCATTAACATTCATTTATTGCAGATAAAATTGATCATCTGTAAAATTATTTATAAAGTTTTTTAATACAATAAAAAATTTTTTTATTTGATCATTCATATCATTGATCTGCAGTATATTCATTCACAACATTCTCATATAAAAATATAAGTTGATAAGATTGATACTGAATAATTTGAATACATCATTCAATTCAAAATTCTTCATTACATTGACTGGCCACAGATTCAATCTATATCAAATAAAATTGATAAATTAAGAAATTTTATAAATGACAATTGCAATAATTAATTATCTTTTTTCATATCAAATTCAGTTTCTTTAACAATCTAGATATCAATCAAGAATGAATATCAACATCAAATTTATTCTTCACAAAGCAGACAATTTCATCACAATATGCAGTTGAATATATTTTAAAAAAGTTTTTCAAATTTGACAAGATATTCAATGTGATTTTTAACTTTACATTTCATATTGAATGAGAACTTCTAGCAGTTCCAAAGCAGTGAATATTTCATTGAATTTGATATATAGTGGTCAGATGACACTCAATGGTCCATGCAATTTGAGTGTAAGCAGCGATGTTGGAAATGGCTGCTTATATTTCGGTTGGTCCTTAGGACTCTACGAGGATCAAGCAGTAGGAGATAATACGGTGATATATCGGAGAGGATTCGGATCAAGTAGTTAGATATTGAGGGTGTAGAACGTAGGGGTCAGATTATAACAGAATGATCCGCTGGTCCCTAGAAGGTTGGACCAGCTGCTAGCTATATACACACAGTATTGTAAGCAGATCGAACTTGCTATGATGTAGATGGTGTAGTATGATGCAAGTGGCAAGATAATGCCTTGATTTCAAACCTGATATGACGTTGGTGGAGCTATGTTCGGCGATGTCATATCCTGATATGACGTTGGTGGTGTTATGTTCGGCGATGTCATATCTTTAGGGCTATCGCTAATTCCGGCCTAGCACTGGCACCTTAGTGCGGGTTTCTTACATTGAGCAGGTATATAATCATCATTTAAAAGGTGTATGATCTCATTGATGGTAAATTCACTGAGCTGGGGGGGCATATTGGCAGATTTGATGATAAAGGTGCATATTTGAATGAATTGGATGATATTTGAATGATTCTAGAGATACGTGGATATTTTGGTTATTTCTGCGGTGTTTTGCTACTATTTTTCAGGGGGTGGCAGAAAATTCTGTTTTCGCAAGCTTTACGTCCGCCACAATATTATACGCTAGTCTGTGATAGGAAGTCCGCCATCTGCTAGTTATGTAATGTGACGAAAACATGGGGTAGAGACGCGCCGTTGACCGTACTTGCATATATGTATACCCAGGTTGATCTGGGCCAGACTGACATGCTGCTCTATATGACTGAATATTATTCTAAAGGTATTTATTACATGCCCAAAGTATAACCCCGTAAAGAAAGCGAACAAGTTAAACCAAATTTGCAAACGATTTAACAAATGCATAACTATAGAAAAATCCATCCATACTTCCTTCAAATCCCTCTCCATAAACACCGAACCCACGGTTAAGAAAAAATCACACAGGAAAAGATCCTCCCCTGTCGCAGAATCATGGGAAGACGAGCCTCTCTCCTCGTCATCTTCGGATGAAAATGAAGACGGCATTACCCCTCCCGCCTCCGCATCTCTGAGATCCCCAATCACCACAAATACCACCTCATCAACAAGCAACAGCACTCCTTCCTCTCGAGTAGAAACCGCCACCCACGTCCCCCTTCTGGTTTCTGATCTTCCATCGCCTGCTTGTACCACACCTTCTCGTCATACCGGTTCCCCTCCCCGCCCACGTATTCCCAGCATGGAAAGGAGACCAGAAAAGCAGACCGCCGTCGCGAGCCGTATGATCGCCGGCGCTCTGGGGATACGCGCTCCGAAACGCACGGAGGAGCAGAGGGCGTACGATCGGGCCATGAGGGAGAAAGAGGCGAAACAGCGGGAGAGGCAAAGGGAGCTCGAGGATTCAAGCCGGAAAGAGGCAGAGAAGGCGAGGGCGGCAATTTGGGAGGAGTAAAATCCCGGGGGAACGGGCCGGGGGCGGGGGTTATTTACATGCTCTAAATATTCGGTTTTTTATATCGGGATTTTTCGGCATTCGTACCTTGACCCTATATATAGCCCCGTTTCGTCGTTTTGGTAGGGAGGTTAGTTTTGGATGTTGGTCCTTACCATTGATATTATACATGAGTGCATATATCCATCTGTTCTCGATGGCCTGGGCCTCACCACTGTTGCACATTACTGCTGCTATTGATTATTATGAGTTATGACTTGAATTCATTCTCACGATTAATGCTTATAACATTTACTAATTATCATATCTGTAAATATACATTTTCTTGCGTTCACGGGACAGGGAGGTTATTAGCTGTTTCAAACAAGGAATCATTCAGCATAGTGTATGACATAGCCACTTGAGCGTAGTTGGTATTGTCAGAATTTAAACAGAAAGGAAAGACAAATATACATTTGCTCTATTCCACGGAAATCACAAATACACTTATCCCTGAATCTCCTTCTCCAGTCCGAGTATGATGTGGCCCCATGTAAAACTACACCCTCCCAAATCACAAGGCAAGACAGTGCAGTCACCCCAATGCTCCAATGAAATACAGATTGTAGCGAAGCAACTTATCACAGAGAAGTACTGAATTGCAACAAAAGTGTGAAAAACAAAACACAATTCAGGAGGCGGCAGCATGTTTACTCAGATGCACAACTTCAACAATAGAAATGAAGTAAATGCTAAACCACATTATTCTTTCACCATATTTTTTTTTTTTTTTCTTCAGCTCAGGATTGAGCATTTTTCCTCCCCCCCCGCCCGCCCCCCAACAACCCAACGCCACCACCCATTTCGTTTTTTTTTCTTTCTTGGTATTCAAGCAGGATATTTGTCACACTAAATTACAAAAAATTTTCAGTTGCATGTGCGCCGGCCAAATTCAAGTACAGATAACATAGAAATTGCAGAATATGTAGAAGGCGCTGTAAAGAAGAAAGAATCGGTCGAAAGAGGACAGGCATAATTCATCAACAGTTAAAAAATGGACGAAAACAGTAAGTTGCCGCATAAAAGTGGATTTCCACCGCGAGGACTGTGAGAGAACATAGTGGTTAGTTAGGAGGTTGCTGTAAATTACCTAATGCCATAGAGAACGAAAGCAGAAGTGTATTTATCTCTTTACTCACTTAGTTTTTGTCAAGGCAGATAGCCTCCAATTTGTTCTTGGTGAACCTCTAGGGTATCGCCATCGGCCATGTCAAGCTGTAGGCAAAGGATCATTTAGCAACTTCTAGCTGGGCAAAAAAAGACATTCTGTGATCCACTGGATAACGCGCCTGCTCACGCAAGATTGTCTGGTAGTGGGAAACTTACTGTATCTGGTGTATCGTCCTGTCTGACTCTTGTCCCATCAAACAAAAAACGCACAGAGGATAGATCCTTTCCTTGTCGAGTGCAGAATGCTTCCATGAGTTTTTTGAGCTGGGTGGTACGTTTAATCTTAAAAAAAACTTCGTTGTTGTTATCGGTGACTTTTATATTAAGGTGTCCTGTAGCTGGAGGTGCTGTGGCCTGGTTTTCTTGCGGCGCCTGGTCCATGGCTTTTGATGAACGAAATTCGTCGGAGGGGCAGGTGGATTTATTGAGGCTATTGTGAGGAAGTTGTTGCGGAGAGGGGTACTAGTATGTTAGATCGTGAAACTGAAATATCGGACAGGCTTACAAAACTCCAAGGAAAAGAGACAACGAGAAGGACTTACAGAGGATTATGGCAACAGAAAATTATGGAAAGTGTTGTGGTTGGCGTGGTTGGTGTTGTTGCTGTCGAGTTAACCCCACGGCGATGGAAAATCTATTTTGCCGCCCGGAACAAACACCAGTCAAACGATGCCTATTTATGGTCAAAATTGGTCCAAAATATCACCCTCGATTGAATGACAGGGTTGGCCGGGATCACAAGAGAAGTATTAAGATGGTATGGGAATGCTGCTCTTTTAATTTTGAAGATTTCCAAATAGTATGAATGCAACTGATATCACATTTAGGGATTAAAAGAAGATATTGCATATGATCCACCTTGTCACCCAAGAGCAGTATGTGAATTGTCTAATTGTGACAAAAAATGCATTTCATGCTAGTCTGCTCGTTATGCTAACTATTCTGTCACTAATAACAAGTGTGCAATCCAAGGTAAAAATTTTCCGCTTGCACCGCACAATTTTACTGGCCCATGAAATTGACGCAACGTGCCAATAGCATGCCTCACCAGGAATTTATATAAAGAGGAAAAATGTCAGAGTCAGATAGACGCCCTATACCAATGTTGTAACGCATTTTATGAAGTACGAGGCGAAAACGCACGAACTCCAAGCTGCCCAAAACCCGAACTTCTAAGATTGAAGATGAAGCAACGAGTGGAAGCGAAGGACACAAAGTGAGGATTTGAAGGTAGTTCCAGTCGAGAAGAGAACAATCTTAGCATGTAGCTTTAGCAATCGAAAGAGGCTAGGGAAGCTAAGCTTTCACTGTCGTTTGAAACTCAAGAAACCAATCTGTAACAATCACTCTTCTAAGTCTTCATGCTCTGCCAATAAATTGGATCCGACCAGAATATGTATAGGATTGTCGAATTCACTCTAAGACGCTCGTGAGCGCGCAAGAGGACCTCAAGGGACCTGAACAAACACTGGATGAGCTTCATTGAAGAAGTTCGTCTGACCCGAGACTCTAATGAACGCCTATTGACATTTATCGAAGAAAAAGAGAAGAAGGGGCAGAAGGGGCAGAAGATGCGGCCGAGTTTTTATGTCAGGTTAAGGTGCGACTAGTCCTGTTTAGGACTAGGCATCTTCGCGCCACGGCAGCGGAAAGAAAAAGGTTGCTTATAAGCTGTTATTGTTTATCCGGGCAACTTGAGCTCTACGCTTGTTGTGTTCCCTTCGTTCTATTATCGGAACCGGCCGTTCGGCAACGAGGACATGGCACCATTTGCTTATTCGTCCGGGTTCCCACTGGGACAGCACAATGGATCCTTCTCTGTTAGTATTATTTGGCTCCTGCGACCTGGAATTGAAGCTGGCTAACCCATGCAGACCATTCAAGCTCCCCCTAGCCGCCTCCATGACGTGGAAATAATAGAAATTGATGATGATGATGACGACGACGACGAGGATGAGGATGAGGATGACAACCTGGAAGATGATTTGGACGATGATGATGAGGACGACGACGACGAGGACGAGGAAGAGGATCAGGAAGAGGATGACATGGAGGAGGAAGATGAAGAAAACGAAGAAGAGGACGATATGACTGGAACTGATTCTATGGAGGAAAGAAGTTCGGATTTTGAAGAAACCGAGCAAGGTTCGTGTACTTCATTAATTAAAGAAATACGAAAGTCTGCGTGGTCTATGTATTCCTTGCTGATTTACTTTTAAGGAAATGTCATTACAATATCCTCTGGCCTAGGTTCCCCAAGCTTATTGGCGACCTCCAATATACAACAAGTTATAAACCCACTTCGAAATACAGCGGACCGTGTAGCAAGCCAAATCGAAGCCTTTGCCCAGAATTTAAATCAATTTAAGCAGCATACTCGTGCAAGTCCAGGCGACCCAGAGGCGTTTCGTGAAGCTTGCAAATTAGTCCAGAAATATCAAAAAATTGCAGAGACATCCGCGAAAGAACTGTCAACGACAAGTACCTCTCGTAAAGCGAAGCAATCAGCAATTAATCGAGGCTCTGGCGCTAACCAGGGTTCGAATGGGAGGCTGGATGAGCAAATTAGGCGTTGGCAGTTAGAAGCTGAAACTTGGGAGCTGCTGCTTCAAATGCTCTCCATTGACGATCCTGAGTCACGCGCTCGGGCACAACGAGCTCAACAAACTGTCTTCCAATCCCTGCATCGATACTCGTCCGACCAGGAGGTCTGGAATAAATTTCTCGAGGCAGACCATTTTGCATTGGAGAACTTTGTTGTATTAAAATGGCTGGAGAAAACCGCGAGGTCATCGCCCCAAGATATCGATGGGTTTGATTTCGGAGTTAGAAACCCAAGCCGAAAGAGGTCAGGGACTTTGGGCCCATGGCTGGCTTTACACTAAAGAAGCTATCAAGGGCGCGAAACGACTACGATCGTGGCCACAACCGCTGGAACCTGAGGATCCAGGACTGACGATATCACTGATGAGTGTAGAGAAACAAGAGCCCCTTGTCACTCAATTGGACCCAGACGCTGTTACCCGGCAGCGGCATGGATTACAGAAACAAGACCAATTTTATGAGCAGGCGGCCTGGTTAACATGTTGGAAAATGTTGAGGCAGGGTCAAAGCTGGGAAAAAATTCATGAATGGTCTCATGAACGGTTGGAGAATTGGAGAGCGATCAGTGTTTGCGGTACCCCTACCGAGTATGAGAACAACGCTGCAGATCCTGGTCTAACTCGACTCATCAGCTGCCGATCTCAGGAGTCTTGGAGACGCTCGTGTTTAGCCCTTGCCAACAATCCTCAAACTAGCAACTTTGAGAAGGCTGTCTACGCGCTTATTTGTGGTGAAACGGAACCAGCTTACCCCATTTGCCAAGGCTGGGGTGACTACGTCTATGTTTTTATCAATCACTCAATTCTTGCTCGGTACCGCGAATTTGCAAACAA